TTAAAAAAAAAAAAAAAAAAAAAAGGGTCCCAGAGCAGCTTCTATGTGGCCACTTTCTGAAATATCTTGAAATTTTTGAATTATTTTTTTTGTTTGAGAATGTCTAGATGGGTTCCTGGTACTGCAGGCTGATAGGACTAGAAGATAACTTAGCTTCTGCAGTGGCCCCCTTTGGTAAAGAGGCCTGGATTCCCTGGAAAACCTGCCAAGTTCTGTCCAAGTTGCAGGACCCGGTTTCCAGCACGTGATGATCCCCACTAATAGACCGGAGCCACCTATGAATATAGATTAGGGGTACATGCTCTTATCATTACCCCTAGCTGTGTTTTATGTGTGTTTATTAAAAAAAAAAAAAAAAAAAAAAAAAGTTTGCAGGACACCCTGATCCTGAACATTTGATTATAAGGGACGCTGAACCCGTTTACGAGCAGGTGCAGCTCCCCACGAATAGACCGGAGCCAATTAGGAAAAAAAAAAAGAGAAGATTAGCATGGGCACTTGGCAAGGATGACAAGGCAAGGACCGAGAAATGGTCCAAGACAAATTGGCCTAGCGCAGTTGGTTAAAAAATAAATAAATAAATAAATAAAAGATTAAAAAAAAAATTGACAAAGAAGTTCAAAGAACAGAAAAAGTCTAGATACCAATCCAGTCGCATTCCAGTGGCTCCAGTGGGCTTAATATCTGCATGCTCCCAGAAATATTCCAATCAGAGAATGGCTCTTCAAACAAAATGGGCGCACCTGGTCCAACTGGAGAGACAGTGCAGTGCAACTGTTCCACCCATAGCGCACATGAATTCGACCAGGTGCGGCTGTACTGCATGTACTTCGCACCGGGTCCACTTGTAGCCAGCATGGACATGATTATCTGTCCATCTAGTGAGCCCAAGTATTCCCAAGTGGTTCCTGGGAACAAACCCAACAGCGGGGGGGGAAAAGGGGTGAAAAAGGAGGAGGGGGGGGGAGGGGGGGGGGGAGGGGAATGAAAAAGAAAAGGGGAAAAAAGGGTGGGGGAAAGAGCTGGTATAAGAGTAAAAACCTCTCCCAACTAATCCAAATGGCCAGCTCAGAAAATTACAGTACCGCTATTCGCTTTAAATTGTGAGGAGGTGGGTGGGTTTGCGGAGTCTCTGTCAGCAGTTTGGGGCCTGTGGGCACAGACCCCTGCCGCGCGGGTGGTAGGGCGGAATTGCAGGGTTTGGTAATAACTATTAACTCCGGATGAATGGTGGACATGATCACGCAGCGCTGACCGCTCGTTTCTTTTTTATGGTTTTGGTTCGTTTTTCTTCGGTAGTTCCTTTTGCACATGTGGTCGGTGGAATTTAGGTCACTAAATTAGGGTTCACATGAATATTGTGATTAGACTTTTTAGTGATGAACTTTAGACTTTGATGATAAATTTCGTTCATTTTTCTGTGGTAGGGGCTGTGGAGTTGGCTGTGGAGTTGGCAGCAGGGTGAAATCTAGTGGTACCCTCCATGTGCTTGGCCGGTGATGCTTTGCCCGCCGAGGGCCCCACCTAATCTTGTGAGGGACGCTGCTTGGCCGGTGATGCTTTGCCCGCCGAGGGCCCCACCTAATCTTGTGAGGGACGCTGGGCCCGGTTCCCAGCTTTTATAAATGTTGTTTGCAGTACCAACCACGGAACTGTCTAAGGGTGGAGGAGGAGGAGGAGGAGGAGGAGGAGGAGGAGGAGGAAGCAGGAGGGGGAGGAGGAGGAGAAGAAGAAGCAGAAGAATTTGAAAAAGAGAGGCCAATCGCTCACTGACAGTGACAGTGTCTGCACACAGAAAGACAGAAATCAACCCTGCACGTGCACAGACATGTCAAGGTCGTACAAAGCGCCCATTCATTCTCCGAAGCGTTTCGCCTGGCTGCACTCCAGGACTTATCAAGGGGCAAACCGCACACCCGCCTCCACCTGACCTTCCACCCGTGCAAGAGGGCCGTTCTGGCCTTGCCCTCCGTATGATATGCTGCTCATGCGTCCTCCTGATGCGTGCGTTACCGACTGGGACTGTCCCCCATGGCAAAGTGTAATGAAGAAGAAGAAGATGGTGCCACTGGAGGAGGAGGACAAGGAGAAGGAAGAATAAGAAAACGAGGAAGAAGAAGAAGAAGAAGAAGAAGAAGAAGAAGAAGAAGAAGAAGAAGAAGAAGAAGAAGAAGGAGGCGGAGGAGGAGGAGGAGGAGAGTGAAGAAGGGGCAGCCAAGAAGATCGGAAACCAATAGTGGTATGGGGGATGGTATAAAACAGGGGTGTTGTTAAAAAAAATAAAAAAATAAAAAAATCACAAATTTATAGTTTTTCTCTTTTATTTTGGCTGTAGAGTTTGAGTAGCTGAGTGTTTGGATTTGCAGATGGGATACCGTTGCTTCTATAGGATGGTAGTTCTTTTTGTCCCTTCGCAGAATCGGCATGCTTGGTTTTCCTTTTCTTTCATCTTCGCAACATTGGACCCTGTGGCGTGGGGGAGTCCGGGGTCTCAGCGGCTGGATGGCTGTGGTTGGGGATGGGACTGGGTGGGAGTGCCTTTCACAGCCCCATGCGGTCGCAGCATTCATGTGAGGGACGCCAATAATAATAATAATAAAAATTGTATGCATTTTTTTTTGGTGAAAGGGTTGGCCTCGGGTAATTCAGATTTTCTTTTCTTTTTTTAAATTTTCTTTTTCTTGATTTCATCTGCTCCTAACTGCATTCCAACTCAGGGGCCAAGTCCCACTAGCAGGGTTGAGCTACCTCAACGCCTGAATCTGGACGCTTTTGTGGAGATGTGCAGGAATGGTGTTGAGTTTCCTGAACTGCACGTCTCCACAAAAGACGTCCAGATTCAGGCGTTGAGGTAGATCAACGCTGCTAGTGGGACTTGGCCCCAGNAGGAGGAGGAGGAGGAGGAGGAGGAGGAGGAGGAGAGTGAAGAAGGGGCAGCCAAGAAGATCGGAAACCAATAGTGGTATGGGGGATGGTATAAAACAGGGGTGTTGTTAAAAAAAATAAAAAAATAAAAAAATCACAAATTTATAGTTTTTCTCTTTTATTTTGGCTGTAGAGTTTGAGTAGCTGAGTGTTTGGATTTGCAGATGGGATACCGTTGCTTCTATAGGATGGTAGTTCTTTTTGTCCCTTCGCAGAATCGGCATGCTTGGTTTTCCTTTTCTTTCATCTTCGCAACATTGGACCCTGTGGCGTGGGGGAGTCCGGGGTCTCAGCGGCTGGATGGCTGTGGTTGGGGATGGGACTGGGTGGGAGTGCCTTTCACAGCCCCATGCGGTCGCAGCATTCATGTGAGGGACGCCAATAATAATAATAATAAAAATTGTATGCATTTTTTTTTGGTGAAAGGGTTGGCCTCGGGTAATTCAGATTTTCTTTTCTTTTTTTAAATTTTCTTTTTCTTGATTTCATCTGCTCCTAACTGCATTCCAACTCAGGGGCCAAGTCCCACTAGCAGGGTTGAGCTACCTCAACGCCTGAATCTGGACGCTTTTGTGGAGATGTGCAGGAATGGTGTTGAGTTTCCTGAACTGCACGTCTCCACAAAAGACGTCCAGATTCAGGCGTTGAGGTAGATCAACGCTGCTAGTGGGACTTGGCCCCAGGTCCTTACTTCTACAGTCCATGGGGTACGAACTGAGCTACCGTTTCCCCTGATTTTATTATTATTATTATTATTATTATTATTATTATTATTATTATTATTATTATTATTATTTTTATTTTTTAGTTTCCCCTGAATTCAAGACACTGTGATTATAGCTGTATTTTTTTTGGCCAATTTTCAGTCTAGATGGAGCCATAATGACTGTATGTTCGAGGCCGGTGAGGAGGGCATGCCAACTGGTCGTATGTGGTTTTTAATGACCACTGTTGGCTCCTCGAAGTCAACAGACTCAACACTTACAGCTATTAGACTTGAAAAAAGGAAAAAAGGAAAAAAGAAAAGAAAAGAAAAGAAAAGAAAAGAAAAGAAAGGAAAGGAAAGGAAAGGAAAAGGGCTTATTACCAATTAGGTACACCAGGGGCACTTCCGAAAGCCACAACCAATAATTGTGCGAGATCCCCGTCAGTGACTCCTGCTTCCGAATGCCGCGTGACCTGCGCCAATAATATGCAGAAAAACATTAAAAACTTAAAACAAAAGAGAACAAGTTGAAAAAAATGGGAAGAAACAAAACCTATAGGCTTTCCTTAAACCACCAGTACTTGGCCCAGCTATCAAGTCTGAGCCTCGGCCGACCGGTATGCCGAGCCTTGCCGAGGCTCGAACTACCGGGCGTTAACTTCCCGAACGTGCTTGGAGAAGAACACGGAATAAAGACAGGAAAAAAAAAAACAAACACAAAATGCAAAAGCAAAGACAGAAAAACGGGATTTACTCTAAATAACATGGAAAAAAAAAAAAGACAATAATCAAGGCGGTGTGTCTTTCCATGTTCTAGATTCACTCTCGTTTCCGTTTTCCGAAAACGAAAGAGAGAGAGAGAGAGAGAGAGAGAGAGAGAGAGAGAGAGAGAGAGAGAGAGAGAGAGAGAGAGGGGCGGCGAATCTCTCTCTCTCTCTCTCTCTCTCTCTCTCTCTCTGGCGCGCGCCCGTTTCCATAGTCTGTTCCGATATGGGAATGGATCTACCTGCGAAAGCGGGAAGATTCCTTCCCGTTTTCGTTTTTAGAGAGAGAGAG